AATCCTCCCCTGGTCTCTCCCAGCCATTTCTGCTTCTCGGATTTCTCCCTCTTGGGTGGAGGAGCTGCAGGGCTGCCAAATCTTGCAATACTCAGGCTATTTCTTAAAGCCCCAGCTCCTAAAATGGCGGGAAAACTGGAAGCTCCTGCCTTCCAGGGGCTTTTGTTTCTTTAAGGAGTTTCTCATCCTCCCACTTGTGCAGAAAAAGCAGGGAGCAGGAGCCTGCAGCCCATGCCAGGAAGCGCAGGATGAACACACAACCCAGGTGGACCCGGGCTGCGGAGCAGTGGCCACAGCTGCTCTGTGCCCAGGACACCCAGACCTGCCGGGCAGCCATTGAAAATCCCACTAGGGGTTGCTCCGTCACCCACCCTCAGGAACCAGGGACAAGAGAGGTGCTTAAGGGAAAGGTGGAGCTGGGGCTGGGCCGGGGCTTGGGCAGGGTCAGGCACCCAGCCCTGCAGTGTGGGGGTCCCTGCCCTCCAGCCCCTTCCCTTGGCAGTGCTGGGGCCCAATGCCCCTGAGGACTGCATGCCCCCCCTGCTCACCCAGCAGCCTTTCCAGCCGCAGGAAAACCCCTCTTTCACATCACCACAGCCCACCCAGGAGCCCTCCGTGCAGGCCAGACCAGGCTGGCAGATTCTCTGGAGCAGCCCCGAGCTGACCCAGATGCTCGCCGGCAGCACATACCACGGCTGCGAAGGCATTTCCTCCAGGGAGTTATTTTGGGCATGGCACCGTGGGACGGATGCTGCTCCTGCAGGCACTATGGGAGCATCCTGCGAGAGCTGGGCGTCACCCACAGGCACCTGGCTCGAGGAGCCCAGAGCTCTGCTCTGGGAAGATCAGCACAACTAGGCAATACTTCGGTGCTCAGCACACGACCCATCGAGGCTGGCTCGCAGGTCCAGAGCTGGGTGGGACCCTAAAAGAAGTCAGTATCAAGACAGGTAACAAAATGGTAAAAACAAGCTATTCTATTAATTCTCATTAGACAAAATACTAGCATTCTGAGCAAGTGTGTTGGTAGAATTTTAAGATGCCCAACAAGGCACAAACTAGTTCAATTACTCAAAAGGAGGCAAAAGCTCTGCTGAGCCCCAAATCTCCTGTGTGAGGTGCACAAAGCCCTCCAGCCTTACCCAGTGCCAAAATTCCTGCGCTGTCCCCAACACACACAACCCAGGGCCCTCCTGCCATCGCCTCTGTTTGGAGCAGTGTGCAGGCATCCCAAGGACACCCAGTCAGACTGGGGGTGTGGGACTGCCTGGCCGAGGAGCATAAACCTCAGCTTCTCCATTCGGGTCACGGCCCATGCCAGCAGCAAGCGAAAGGCTGGGCCATGAGCTGAAGGGGATGGGGACCACCCATCCCTGCACACTGCCAGGGTGGCTGGGCCAGGCAGACCCCCTCCTCCCACCATCACCCCCAGACCCCATTTCCCTTCCTTTCTGGCACCCATCAAAACAGCTCAGCACCAGGCACAGTCAGAAAGGTGCAGTGCTGGGAGCTGGGCCATGCGGGAGCAAGAAGGGGACATGAGGATAGAGCAGAACTGGTTTTATTGGAGGTGTCAAGAGCAGGAACAATAACAAACCTACAGGCTCCCCTCCTCAAGTGCCATCCTCCCCTCTCCACACCACTGGGGCAGTCAGGATCACGTGTGCGTGCTACAAGACAACGGCAAGGCTTACACTTCGCTTCAGCCAAAAGCCAGACAAAGCCCCCAGCATCCCGGGCAGTGCCGCCACCGCCCCCTCCCTGGCGACTGTGAGCTCAGCTGGGCCCTGCCAGAGGCAGGGCAGGGCAGGACATTCACCTTCCCCTCCGGCGACTGAGGAGGGGCGAGCTTTGCGTGAGAGGTTTTTGTCAAGGGAAGGACAGGAGCACAGCTCCACCAAAGTGCCAGGGGGACGTGACCTGGGCTGCAGCTCCCAGCGGGACATCTCGCAGGACCCTGGGAGAGGGCAAGCTGTGCAGCCTGAGCAGAGCTGCAGCAGCCGCAGGCAAGAAATCGCATCGCTAAGCCCTGAAGGGCTTTGCTGCCCCCTCTCAACACAAACCAAACCGAAACGGAGAGGGGTCAGAAGAGAAACCAGGAGGGGAGGTGAAGCAGGTCTGGAACGGCGTTCGGCTCTGGCTCACTTCCCAGCCCGTCGCTCCTCCTGGCGCTTGGTGAGGATGTATTTGAAGAACTCGTACACGGACCAGGCGATCGCTGTTGAGGGCATCTGATAAATGACTCTCGCCTGGACACCTCTGAAGTAGGCGGTCACGCCGCCCACTTGGTACACCGTCCTGAAGGCATTGGCCATGCCTGTGATGTGTCCGCTGATGTTGGAGCTCAAGGCCAGGGACTCCTGGGTGTTGAGCAGCGTTTTGCAAACGTCCAAAGGCGTAGTGGCAGCAGCAGCGACAGCCCCCGCGCAGGCTCCAGAGACCACGTGGGAGCCTGGGTTGTACTGTCTGTGGGGGTTGAGCTGCTCTTGCAAGAACTCATAGGTCATGAAGTGAATGGCTTGGAAGGGGATGTTCATGGTGAGCTGGGTGGTGTAGCTGCGGTAGAAAGCTCCAGCCCCTTCGTTGCGCCACACAGCCCGCACACAGTCCGTCACACGCTGGTAAGGCGAGTTGTACATCTGCATCCTCTGTTTGACCACTTGGGATGGATGGCGGCAGCCAGCAGCAGCAGCCAGGATCCAGGCGCGGAGGGGAAGAGGAGAGAGAAAGGGTAAGCTGGAGCTAGGCTTCCTGCGAGCGCCCAGAGTTTAGTCACACTGGCTTAAGAACTAACGATGGACAACTCGGACCAGCAGTGCCCGGCATGCCCCCAGGCAGGACTGCAGCCGTTTAGATCTGCTGAGGCATTACCGTCACACACACACCACCACCTGCAAACCCCACAGCTGCCGCAGCCCCAGCAAACATCCCGATACCCAGGCGCTTATACTCCAGATCCACCCTCGCTCCCAAGCGACCGACGTCTCCCCATCCACCACTGCAGAGCTACCATGCGGTCAGGAGAATCCCCTCTGCATCTATTCTCCTATTTTTCAGACAGCTCTCGATCTGGATGAGCCTGTCCTCCCCAGCCGCCCCTGCAGCAGCCCAGAAGAACCACAGCACATCGCAGAGCCCACCAGCCAGGAACTGTTAGTGGCTGGATCCGGGGCAAGAACCGAACGCCAACACCACCCAACACATCTGAGAGCAGAGCAGGGGAGCCCAAGCGCAGCCTGTTGCTGTCCTGCCTCCCCATATCTCAACATGACCACAAGAAGCTAAAAACGATGTGACCACAAACTACTGCAGTCGTGGTAAGAAGATGAGCTCCAGGGAAGGAACGACAACAGCCCGGCCACGCAGCTGCCTGCTCCTCGGGGTCCCAGGCAGGCAGCAGGCAGGCAGGAGCCTTGCTGGGCACCGATCAGCTGGAGCCTGCACTGACACGAGCTCTCCAGTTTTAAGAGGAAAAAAATACATTCATGACTGGCCTTTCCTCGTTATTTGTCCTTCTCCCACCACATTCACAGACTTTAATTACAAACTCCCTCTGCCTTTTTCGTACCAGGCTCCACAAAATCAGTATCGTTCAGATGCTTCACAACACAAGCTCTCCCTTCTCCTGACTTCTCTAGCATGCCTTTTGTACCCCATTCTTTTAATTTTCTTCCTCAACACAGGCCCAGAACCGTACTGCATCTTCCCGAGATCTCACCACAGCAATGCCCAATTTCCACACACTTGGAACGACTTCCAACAGTATGGATCGCATCTCTCTTGCCTTCTCTCCTGCTCCAGGTAACTGTCACAAGCCAAACCCCTGGGCAAAAGGCTGCTGCCCTCCTGGCTCCTCCTAAGCAGGGGTTTGCTGCGTTCCCCAGAATTAATTTCTTCTACCTACCCCCTCCATAACGGGCAGCCACCGGGCTCCCTAACCAGAGCCACAGCCACTGGCCCCCGAAGGATCCTTGCAGTCAGGCGAGCAACGAGGAGAGCACCCTTCGTGCCCCAGAGGGGACCCGAGTGGCCCAGGCAGCCCCTGATCCTCCCCTCCCCGGCAGGCCAGGACCATCGTTACCTTCAGCAGGGTTCATGGCTGCATCGTGGAGCAACGTTGCTACACACCCGGCTGCACCTGCAAAACAAGAACTGCCACATGTAAGGGAGCCCCGGGGCCCCCCCCACAGCCCCGAGTCCCCCGCCAAGGCACAGGAGGAGGCCCCTGGAAGAGGGCAAGATCCGAAGGCGGCCTCCATCTCCCCTCCAAGAGACAGGCTGGTCCTCAGCGGTTCCCTCCGAGAGAGAGCTCAAGAAAGAGGGAGAGGACTGCGACAGGCTCTCAAGTCCCGTGGGCTGACCGGGACTCA